TTTATATTTTTTCAGAAACCTTTCACCGCAAACTCAAAGATAGTCGTGCTGATATGATGGAGTTTGAGAAACGCCACCAAGTCAATGAGAAATTGCGACCGGGAAAAGCGAAAAATGCTTCCGACCTATTCGGCATTCAAGGGAACTTCAAAAAACTAGACATTGATTAAAGTACATTTAAGTGTTTTATAATTATCATTTTGAAATTCCATTGACAAAGTATTGTTTATATGTAATTATGGCATGGTGATAGTCTAAAACTTATCATTAGAAAATGTTTGAGAATAAAATTAATTGGAAAGGAAACATGAAATATAGGAGGGGGAATGTTTTATGTATGTATATTACCGGATAACTCTGGACCACGTGCACCGTTTTCGATAATTCTTTTTTTTTTAGGTTATACATCAAGGGTGGTCCCATACTAATTTGATTTATTTCATTAACAGTAAATTTTTATATGAGCATTGAGGTCGGTTGTGTTTTTTGCTTATAAATTATTTGTTGCAATCGCAAGAAAAGTTATGGCTCACAGTCTGCCAAGTTTTCAGTTGAAATTAGATGATGATGTTGAAAACTTTTATTTGGCGATTTCTTGACCTTAGTCCTTTTAGTGGCCAAAGTATTCAAAGAATGTTTTTTTTTTTAATCCTTCGTCGTCAGCGAACCATTCTGCAACCGAAATTCTGATCAAGTCAAACTATTCGGCGAAAATCTTCACCCAATGCAGATCATTTAAAAAGCAATATCTTCCAGCTTTTCTTGTGTTGTAAATTTTTTGAACGTTTCTCCAAGATAATAATAAGGCTTATGTCCACGCTTAAGCTCAATTGAGGCAGCTGAATTTTGAGTGATTTTTGACATAGCATCTTTCTGATTTGAAGAACTGAAAGAACAAAAAAAAAACAAATTAGTCAATGGAATTTTATAGTTTTCTACATATGTATATTCATATGATATTACGCATGGTGCCTCACTTCAAGAAACTCCCAAAAACAGTCAAAACATAGTTTTGTTTTCATTTTCAATTCTCATTCCTCATACCTTCACCCGACCAAGATCGGTTGTAATCATTGCCAATAATAAAATAATATCTCGCAAGAATCATGAGTGTCTCGCGTCTGGCTTCCGCTCAAGATTCGAGTGTAACTGCGATATGGCTAATAAATGCTGCAGGGAGCACTTCGGCGCCTAAAAAGAGAAAAACTAGGTTTTCTAGGATGAAGATAAATCTAAGTGTAATCGGGCTATCTTCATGCTTAACCAGATTTCTAAGAACGCAGCGGCCGTTACTGTGCACACCAAAGATGAGAAAGATGGCCGAGAGTGCAGGAAGGAGAAGAAGGAGTATGGGATATAAATGACATCTATTACTGAGTCAGCGAGGAGGAGCGTTTAAGAACAACGCTTTCCACCAAGAAGAACCATCGACGATGAGCTCAGACAGTCGGGTCTACGTAACCGGAACGACCCAGATTTATATCTGGCCAAGGACTGTCACTCCAGCAACACTCCCCAAAAAGTCTTTGGGGAATTTGTATGCTGCTACAACAACAACAACATGAGCTCAGACAGGCGCAGTAAGCCTACTATGAGCTGAACGGTTGGGGCATATCCTGACAACCTCTTTTTGGGATTAGATTCCAGTGAGTTTCAAGAGAAGTTATCGGATTTTATGTGAAGATATGATTTCTCTCGTTAATTTAGAAATCTTGGTTTAAAAACCTGTCGCCCAAGGGTCTAACGGCTGTCTGCTATAACCCTTTCTACAGCAGTATAAAGCATATTTAAGCCTTTTTATGTGCCCTTTTCAGCTCCTGCATTAGAACCGTCATCAACTTGGACGACCACACGAATGCTGCAGCTGCCAGATGCTAGAGCCCTATATTGCCTTGCTGCAATGCAAATGCAAGGCCAATTTAAAAGGGGGGGGAGTGTTGGAGCTAACTATGCAGGTGAGTATTTCAGTTAGTAACAATTCTAAGCTTAAGATCTGTAACAAACACAGTGCTTTTCCAGTTATATGTATGGCTGGGAAGAAATTCTCTGCTACTCGAAGGGTACCTAAAGGTGACAAACTTGAGATTATCCGGCGCGGAGACGCTTTCGAATCCACAGCCTAGTTTCCTCAGAAGTCTTTCAACTTGCGTAATATTCCAACAGGCTCAAATAAAAAATGACTCACCTCAAAAATTACGTTAATTCCGGCTGGCTGGCAGCGGTGTGAATTTTCGCTCGCACCTACCACTTTATGCAAAGCTTTCGGTTTCCACTTTCAGCCTTAGCGGTTATTTCTATGGCGCTTAAAAATTGTGTGTGATGTATTCAATAGCAATTATCGTTCCTTTATTCAAGCTGAAATCATAAATAAGACCAGAATTAAAAATGTTCTAAGTTAGTGTGGGAAATTTAGACTTTCTTACCATCACTGCGAAGAAATCGTTGACATTTTGTGGCAGACGCCGTAGTGGAGCCTTCCTTGAAACTGGATCCGCATCCCTCCGGGTGCGTCTTTGGCCAGCATACTATAATTATCCCCCCCCCCTTCTCACCATTTCTTTATTTCTGGAATAAATATGAGTGACCGCGGTTGCTAATCACGTACCGAAGTCCTGCTCTAACTCTTCGTCATCCAGCGTGTTCACATTACCATCCTCAGGGTGACGTCTTTTGAGTTTCAGGTAGACAGAATCTGTACCCAAAAACATCTTGCCGAAACGTGGATAGAGCTTATCTTCTGCCTCTTTATTAATTTGAAGAATCAAATCCAGGCCGTTGGCGTCTGGTTCCCCTTGGTGAAGCACCTTCCAATTCTCTGTTGGTATATCGGTATTTTGCCTTTGAAGTAGTAGTAAAGCGACCTCCGGTTTAATCGCACTAGGTACTCGAACTTTTGCACGCGGCAAATTTGGAATATCCTCCTTAGCCACTACCGCCAACTGTGCACCATCCCATAATCCGTCGAGCTCCCGAACGACCTTTGTGATCCATTGCATAGTGTACTCATCATTGCATTTAAGAATCTTTACACCCTTACACCAACCCGATCCATCAAACGAGGGCGTGGGTTCTTCTGGTTCAGCCTTCACCCACATAACGATTGTCTCTAGTATTTTGGCGTCTACTTGTTTCCACTGTTCCGCCGTGATCTCTCCACCCGGATGGCTGCGGTCGATCAGTGCCACGATAAAATCTTGTTTGGCCACCTCGGGGCCTTTGACCGCCTTCTCGGAACAGCTTGGCCGGTCGTCTGTGGTGACAAGTGGTTGTGAACGAGCACGCTTATGCACCACATGCCTTTCTTTTCCTGCGTACTGCTGTGGTTTTCTTTTTTTAAAACGCATCGTAGTGGCTTCTTCGAAAATCTTCAATTGTTTCTCACTACCATTTTGTTCGATATCATTTAAAAGGCTCTCACTGAAGCGTTTTGTAACGTTTTCTTCAATACAGTTAACGAAATTGGGGTCTTCTGGTTCAAACCTTGGGTTTTTCGAAAAGTATTCTCTACTTTTCGCAATTGCCTCTCGCTCCTTCCTCGTAAGAGTGTGATTACCACCGTGAAGCAATGTTTTCCTGATTGCTGCCTTATATTTAGCGAGAGCTCTTCGTCCTTGCCTGGTGGGTCCCTGCTGCAACCTGTACTCGCTAGCAGGATCTTTGCTTGAGCTTGTAGTTACTGGGAACTTTGTAAGCTCTTTCCCAGCTTTTGGACCTCTATCTAAGCTTTCAAAGTCTATGGGCGAGTCAACCGAAGAATCATCGTTACTTGCTTGCATTTCGGTGTCATTGACAGTCGCATTACAACTGTCAGAGCCTGCATCCACCCTGACAGAGGCGTGACCGCTGGCGACACGCTGCGGAGAATTAGGTCCTCCTACAGTGCGCCCGCCGGTGGTAGCAATCACATCTCCCACCGACGTTTGGGTTGATATCCCAACCCGATCTTCTACTTGTCGTTGTACTTCCATGTTGGTTTTTTTTTTTAATTCAGGGAACCTACCCTTAGCGTTTTTTGCCTGCCGCCAGACACCTCTGACCATAGCTGTAGCCACTCATACATCCCCAGCTTCAGCTGTGACACGAAAGCAAGACATGTATGCTTGTACGACAGCCTCTGCTAGCCTTCTACAAAGCTCTCTTCCCAGCACTTGTCGTGCGATGCTCGCACGCTCCGACAAGTCACCGGTTAGAGAAGAGTTGTACAAGGCCATTGCCCAGGCGGCACCCTCTCGGAGGGTTCAGCCAGAGGATTTTCGCCGCCCTCATCCTAACAGCTACGTAATAAAAAGATGGGCCCAAATTTTACCTTTCTTTATAGTACTAATATTGCGCATAAGCAGTGAAGAGAACTTTGGAGAGTATTTAGAAGTCGTTGTATAGAATATCAAAAAATGTGTTTGGATTCATGGCGAAATTTCCTTACTTAAAGAAAAACTTTTATTTTAAATAATTTATTTGGAAAGAAACCGAGAAAAGCTAACTGTTTGGCCGCGTCGGTCCAGAGGAGAGGGGAGCTAGTTGAGTTAGATTCCGTGGCCATATAAAGAGGTGGTTGGCGTCGTGAGGACAACCTTCATATGCCAGACATGTGTTGGGTATGTCGAGGTCTAGTCTGGAAGTTTCATCTACTGCAATATCCAGACAGCGATTGAGACAGAGTTATGCGGGCCTCCCTCGGCAATTGAAGCTCACTTTTTTCTACAGGCGATGATTATACTCCTATAACGGCATTCACAAGACCGCGGTTAGTGAAGGTCTACCTGTGAAGGCCTATACAGTGCCAGGTCCAGTTGGAACTTATTCCTTAGTTCGTAGAGATGCCTTCTGACGTGCCTTGGTGGCGGGTCCACCTCGAGCAAGTGCCTGTCCGGATACTCACTTCAGTCGTAAGTTTTCTCAATGCTTCCGTAGAAGTACCTCCAGTTAACTTTCTTGGTTCTCCTAAATTTTTTCTTATATGAGGATAATACAGATTTGTACTCTCTCCAAATAGCTTAACTTGCACTGCCCTATCATGTAACCCCTAAGAGTTCTAAGACCCTCCCGGATAAGTTCCAGGAGTCTTTCCGAGTTCCCCCTGAAAGGAGTTTTGAGTCAGTTTGATTCCCATTCCCTTTAGACATTCGGCCAGTTTGCAGCAATCTGAGATTCTACCCAGCACCTAAGTAGCTCTACAGTGAATCCTTTAGTCCCGCAGAAATGCAAGCTCGTTGAGGCTCTACGTTTTACGAGACATTCAGCCCTTTTGTTCACTCAAATCCTTCATGTATCGGGACACACCACAGCGTTACTCTATTATGGGCTCCCAGGTGGTTCAAAAGAGTTGTTCAACTGTTCAAAAGCCTTGATGCCGTTCTAAAAGAGTCTAAGGCGTTTAATGCTGCCTGCCTCACTATCCGACATGATATTTATTCCGGCCCCATTTGTCCTTCTACGAAGACGTTCTCGTACACACGACTTCGATTGCGAAAGCTTCCGTTATAATCTTGGTTCAAATATGACTCCTTTCGTCCATTGTCGATCCATCGGTATACCATACTTGGGTCCCTATGATCACTCTGACCTTGTAGAGCTTTTCGAATGACTAAAAAAAACCTATAGAATAATAACTATTTTAATAACAAAATTAGCTTGACCTTTCAAATAACCTTCAAAACTAAGAGGTTTTCAATTTTATCCTTTTTTGACCTGAAAACATTATTCAATGAAATTTTCAAAAAGTTCTACAACGTGTTTTTGCGGTACTTCCGTCAAGAAAATCATTTCCATTGTTGCAAGAACAGAAAAGCATTTATATTTTTTTTTTTCAATGTTCATCACCTGCTGTTTTTAGGTACATAAAAAAAAGAAAACAAACATTTTGAATAAAAAAAATTAAAACGATTCATCAACGCAAAAATATATGTCAAAAACTTTTTAAAAATTTCCTACTGTTTCAGGTCAAAATGGAAAAAATTGAAAAACCCGTTTTTGAACGTCCCTTAAAAGGTCAAGGTATTCAGTGTTATCGCCAACTTCAGGGGTAATAAATAATTACCATAATTTATAGGGCAAAACAATAAGAATTTCGATAAAATCATATTTGTTCTGCTTTTAATTTTTTGGGAATATTTGTTCAATTTCCACACTGTGCGACGTAAGACCTTTATCTGGCGGCATATCCTCCTATTAGCTATACTTACGTCGTATTGCATAATGTAAATGAGAAGCACTGACCTCGATCAATTAATTCCTTGTTTCCCTATTTGAGATGATGTGAGTTCGCGTCTGCGCCTATTACCATTTCCAGGCCTCTACTTTGGACCTCTTCCGTAAATGCCACTGCTTGGCTGGATGGGCCATACAACAGGAATCGAAGTTTCGAGGCAACCACCACAGTTTGCATTAATACTCTACCCGACTGGGAAAAAATTTTAGTATATGTAAATCTGAAAAGAAAAAAAAAAACTATTTAATTAAGAAAGAATTTAATTACATATTTCAACCGAAATCTTACCTTGCTTTTGGTAATTCCGATGAATTTGTCTGGTTTCTAAAGTTATACGCATCAGCATCAAGTCTTCATCTCACCGCAAAATAGGGGCATTAGTCGGGTAAAAATTGAGGGAGTTGAGCTTTTTTCGCCACCTAATTTAGGGTAATTTAAAATTTTTTTTTTTATAAAATGTACATTTTTTACTTTTACCTTAGTTAACAAACAAAATTATGACACTTATTAATTTTTTTTTTCAATATTTAAAATATTTACCATTTTATTTTACTTGAATATTGTAGAAATTTGTGGAATTCAAAATCATTTTGAGTCCAGTTCTGTTCAGTTGCTTGAGCATAATACATACATATATTATTTTAAAAAAAAAAGTAAATATGGTTGTCATTAAACTAACGGGTAAAATTTCGGAAATAACAATTCATGAATGATGCCAAAAATTACATACAAAATCTAAAAAGAAAAGAAAAAATTGTTGATACTAAGTGCTAAAAAGCAGACGGCAAATTCACACGTTTGAGCCTGTAATTGTCTACACAAATGTATTCAGATGAAGTAATCGCTTAGGCGGTTACAGCGCCTAATAAGAAAAAATTAAGAGAAAGAACTAATTTTTTAATAGTTAACTCAAAACATATCTCATTACGGTTTCATATTTTCATACGATTATTTTATGTAATTTTATTTTTTGTGTAGCAACTATTCCATTTTACAAGTTCAACTTCATTGCTGGGATATTGTTTTCCCTTTTGTTTTTTTTTTAACTAATTCGATACATCTGTATTTATAACTACAAGCTAATCACGGTAATTCGTAATATTATTTGTGAATATTTAAACTAGTACTTATGTAGATACACTTACGACTAGTCGTAATTATAGCAAATTGTATTTAATGCAAGAAATACAGCTACCAGAAGAATATGAAAAGTTTTATGGATAAAGAACGCATGCAATACTTGTATGCGTGTATGCGTGTATGCATGTTCCTATTTATGCGGTCAATTACAAATGTGTATGTATGATCGATCTTACATTTATATTTATTTTCGTGTTGTTTTGCTAGGCTCTTCTAAGATTTCATGAGTAACTTAAATAGAGTACACTTATTAAAATACATCGATATATTTCATGTTTGAATAAATATATAATTTCCATTACGTTTTAAGGTAGCAGAATACTTTTAAAATACTTAAAACTAAGTTTTATTATTATTTTTTTTTTTTTATACATTTCATTATGTAAATTTTGTAGTATGTATGTATGTACAAATATATGTAAATGTGCATGTTTTGCACATGCGCTTACGCAGTACTTCGAGAAGAGTAGATTGGTTTACTTACATATGTATGTATATGTATGGACATATCAATTTATGTGTAGTACGCGATTGCTATTAAATTACTTTAATTACTCAATTCTAAGCGTTTCTATTTACAAATCCTTAAATTAGTAAATAAAAAAGCTAAAGCTAAAATGTCAACTTTAACAAATAAATTATCTCTATTCGTGTGCACAGCACTTCGTTGTTGCTGCTTTTATTTCATTTATTTACAAGTTCGTTTGCAGTCTCGACCTTTCACTTCCTCACCAGCGAGATCGAAAGCGGGCAACCATCGCCCGACGCTGTTGGCGCACGCTTCGTTGTAGCTACTGCCTCCGCTGTGGCTGCTGGCATTGGCATCATTGTCTGCGCTACTGTTGCCACTGTTGCTTTTGTTGTGATTGAGATTCCTTCTCTTCCACCTCCACCGCCTCTTCTATTGCCGCCCGCATGCGTCACATTTTGTGTGCACCCTAACGCTTGTTCATTGCTGCTCCCCACAGCTGTGCAAGCAATCGCTGCTGCGCATCATCACATCTGTGTCGGTCGTAGCACGCCACAAGACATCGATGATGCTGCTGCTCCACTTCCTCCTCCACCACTTGACGCATTATGCATTGTTGCCATTGTTTGTTGCATAGCTTGCGCTGCCGCAGCTGCACGACTTCGAGAATTGCCTCTAGACATTGTCATGGTGGATGATACACCACCACTACTGGCAACACTGCTCATCATACGCTGTTGTTGTTGTTGTTGTTGTTGCTGTTGTTGGGGTGTTAACTGTGTCATCGTTGCAGGCGTTACATTCGATGGCGGTGCAGTTATGGTGGCCATATTGGTTGCGCCAGCGTTGTTGGTGGGCGCAGCACTGGTCAGTTCCCAGCTATTGCCGCGTTGCACCAGTGCGGTAATGGGCAACTGTATATGGTAGGAAAGCGGAAAAATAAACGAGGGTAATTATGTAGGAAAAATAAAATATTTTCTAAACAGAAAATTTTGCCTCAATTAATTATGTATGTATCTTATGAATATATTTGTCTATTTACTTTATCTATATGTATGTACAATACTTTATCTGTATGTATTCACAATTTGGTGAAGATGCTCTACTAAGTATGTATGTATGTATGTACATATGTTTATAGTAGCATAATTTGTGCGAAAGGGTGGGAAATTTTGAATGATTGCCGAGATGTGGGCCAAAAGTCGAGAAGCAACCAAATTGATGTGAAACTTTCGTGTTTGGGGGTTTTGGAGGTCGCTGATTTCGAATCCGCTGCCAGAAATTTAGAATACAAAATGGCGGATCCAATATGGCGACCAAATTTTATAATTTGTTCCTTTTCACCACAAACTCATATAAAATGGGGGGTTTTCGAGAGCGCAGATTTCAAATCTGATGTCAGATTTTTGGAATTCAAAATGGCGGATCCAATGTGGCGTTATCGCTGTGGTGTAGTGGTAAGCAGTGCATCCACTCCGCAGGGCCTGGGTCAAGCCCTGGTCAAAGCAACATCGCAAACAAAAATAGAGAAAAAAGTTTTTTCCTTAACAGCGGTCGCCCCTCGGCAGGCAATGGCAAACCTCCGAGTGTATTTCTGCCATGAAAAACAGCTGTTCATAAAACTACAATCGCCGTTCGGAGTCGGCGTAAAACTGTAGGTCCCTCCCATTTGTGTGACAACATTAAGGTGCACGCAACAAATCGTAGGGGAAGCTCGGCTAAACACTATGTATGTATAAGCGCCAATCTGTTCCCTACAAGACCCTACAAGACAGTTGAGTATCATATGAGTGCTCATATTGTCATTGTCACTAATTACAAAAGTGCTTATCAAAGTATTCATTTTTGTTCAGACCATGGGAAAAAAATTTAATACTTTCCCCTCAATGCCGTCATCAGAAAGTCGTCAGTACTAATAGTCAAACTATTCATTTATACTATCCATACTACGAAAACAAAAGTTTAAATGTGTTAGAACTTTTGCGTGAAGTGTTCAGCAATGTCCTCTACAAGACAAAAATTAATACTTTGATAAGCACTTTTGTATATTACAAAAAAAAAATAACGGAACGTACAAGTCTGAACAAAAAATGCAAAAATTCATATCATTCTTTCCTTTATGTAGGTGTTATATTCTTCGGGGAGCATCCCCTTAATAATATATTACAGCAAAAAGTTTAAAACAGCGGTTTCTTTGCATCTTTGTGGACTGCTTCTTTTCAAACATCGAAAGCACGACAAAACACACGTACAAGTTTTCTAAGGAAAAGCCCATTATTTATTCAAAAAGTACGAGAAAGTGCAACAGCCCACAATTTCTAAGTTAAACGTTTGTATTGCTCACAAAGCTTGAAGGCCATCAAATGAAAACAATTGTTTATTGGGTGACAGGTAATAAGGTCAATTGACTTTATTTCCCACCCTGGTGCGAAATAAAATCAATTGACATTATTACCTTTTCAAAAGCGAAATAAAGTCAACAAAAAGTTGGAAATAAAGTTATTGACGCTATTTCCTCATTCAAATGGAAATAGCGTCAACAATGTTTAAAGTATGTCGATTCATAGAAAAAAATTTTATTCTTACAATAAACATTGCCCCGTAAGTGTTGTTTTTTAATAGATGAAAAGGGTTATTGCCAAATCTTGAGTGTTGTGATATTAATCCACACACAACCATGAACTACCACCAATTGATTTTATTAAAACAATTTAAATTACGAATATGTAAAAACACGAAACCACGGAAACTAAACGCCTGCGCACAGCTGGAATACAAGAAATATTTGAAGAAAGAGTATAGAAATGATCCAAATCCATGTATCGATACTTTAAAAAATGACTTTTGGCCAGCAAATAGTAGCTGCCAGACCATAGTGCAGAGGTTCAAAGCTTAAATTTTTTGTGAAGACGTTTTTCTTTCAATTGTGTGTCAAATAATTATCATTTCAAGAGAAAACAAAATAAATATTTTCTATAGGATTTTGTCCGAACTTTCCGTAAAAAAAAATGTGTTTAATTTTTTTTTTTCAAATTTCGACATTTTTGTTTTTTGTATATGTATGTCTAATTACGCTCAAATGAAAGTCTGGAATCTCTCTTCTGAAAAGATGCCTAACCTTTTATGTAAGCATACATATACCGTGTGAATAATTGAAGACACTTTTCTGAAACCATCCCACACCGACATTGTTTAGACTTACAGGTCTATTTATTACTAGTTTGAGTGGATTCTAATGAATTTGTAGGTATTTTTGGTTATTTATAAGTGTGAGCTGAAAAGTGTTTACATACAAATCAAGCAAAATTTTACAAACAATATTTTACAAACAATATTTTTATATATTTTGAGGTTATGTTGAAGTTGTCAGAAGTTACCATTTTTTACTAGAAAGCGATGCTGTACTTTTTAGTGCTACTCTCTCGCTCTGAGCGAATTTATACTTTTTTCCCAGTTTTACTAGTTTTAGTCCGAAAAATACGGGATCGGACCTTATATAAATTTTTTAAATCAAAATTCCTTAACGTATATTTCACGGCGAATTAATATAAGGTGATAGCAGGAGTACAAAAACAAAAATTTACATATATTTTGTTTTTGCTTTGGCGGCATAAACTGTCAAATCTGCAAGAGTGTGTGTAGAAATTCCAACAAAATTTTTCAATTTGATATCAGAAGCCGTGCGGCGAAACACATACACAAAATCAGCTGAGCTAGTAACACCACCTTATTAGTCTGTTCCTTTGAACTTCGGACTAAAACCTGTGGAACTGTCAAACTACAATTTTACGCTCTCAAATGAGAGTAAAAGGAGAACAGATGCAGAAGTGCATAGGAACGCAAAAAGCACTATTTCCTGTAAAAACGTCAGACGGTTTGTTTACATGCCATTGGTACTACACTGATTTGGCCGAAATATCACTAAATAATTATTAAAATTTAAATCGAAAGTCTACTTTCCAGTGTAAACAGCTAGAAATCCTTTTTGCAGAAATAAAAATTGCAAGCTGTAACTGCAACTGAAATGACGCAAATCGCTTTCGAGAAATAATTTCAACTTGCTCCTGCTGTCAAACCAATCGAGTGTTGCCGTGCGACGCGTTTTTTGGCACATTTGTAGAACATTATAAAAATGTTGAAAAAAAATATAAACAAATACCTGTAATTAATTAAGTCTACTGATATGGAGTATTTAAGTATTAATGTATTAGGCATTTTGTGACTGTTTTGTGCGCATTTAAGCAGGTTTAGCATATTTTTCAGGTCAATAGTTTTGTTATAAACGTAAAAAAGTTTGGTAATATAGTTAAAAGTGGACTTGTCTGTATTCACCGTGTAAAGAGACAGATAGTATTAGAAAGTTTGATTTTCAGAAATAAAAACTACTTTCGAAAGAAAGTATTACATGCAAGGTAATCCCTCTTTTGGAAATTCTTGAGTTTGACAGACTTTTGAAAATTACTTGCACTTGGCACGTCTAACAGCATTTATAGTGCTGCACGATTAATTAAAAAATAATTTCTCGAAAAAATTATATTCAACCACTTACCGGTATATTGACACGCTGCACAGAGTACGTTGAGCCACGCAAATTTCCACCACTACTATTATTTGTTCCAGCATTGCCGCACTGCGGCACAGTGCGTAGGTAAGTATTGGAGGGCAATTTCAGCAGCTCTGTCGCTGCTCCTGCTGGTACTGATATACCGCTGGCATTGGCAGCGGCAATTGTTGCCATCGAGTTGCTACCGATTACATTACCAGCACTGCTAACCGCATTTGCTACAGACTGCTGATGACTCATTTTTGATGCGCCGTGTTTATCCTTCTTGTTGCCCATTGTTTTATTGTAGTGTGAGGCCTGTTGATGCGCCATTGAAGTTGTTGTGGTGACAGTCATTATATTGCTACTAGAAGCTTTACTCCCACCACCACCAACGCCAAGTAACTGCTGCTGCTGTTGTTGTTGTTGTTGCCCAACAGCCGAAACAGTCGTCGTCATAGTGCTACTTGCCGTTTTGGCCAAACTATCGCAGACATTAGCATTTGTCGGTCGCGTCTGTGCGCAGGTTGCCGAATGACGTGACCAATGCATTTGCTGACATGGATAATCACAGTAGGATGTATTCCAACAGCAATAGAACTGCGCCTCACGTCCACAATTCGAACACCACTGCTTCTTTTTAGTCTCCTCTATGGAGCGCAGACGTTCCTGCTCGCATTGTTTGCGTATCTCGTTAGCGATGCGTGTCTTTTCGTTCTCCATGCTTTTGCGCATTTCGCAGAGCATCAGATCGGAGGTGCGTTTCAGTTCAGCGATTTCTTGCTCATATGCCTGCTTGGTGCGTTCGAGTTCCATTTTGAGTAGTGTTATTTTGGCTTGCAATACGGGCTCTTCGCCAACAGACATCTCCAGCATGGTATCTTCCATGACAGATATAAAAAAGTCCGTCAACTAAAAATGCAAGGGAAAAAATTAAATTTAAAATGAGAAGAAATAATGTTAAAATAATATATTTAACCTACTTTGTGTGCATTTTCCACCAGCGTCTGACATACCGGACCCGCCTGCGAAGGGAACATGTTCGCGCCATCAGATTGCAAAGGACCATTCGGCCGTTGTACCATCTTGGGTGGACCACGACAAATCGCATCGGTCACCATAGCTGCCAGACTGGGTGTAACAAAATCTCCATTGGATGTGCTCGGCACTCCACTTGCGCCGACCGCAGCGCTAACCGTCTGCTGTGTAGGCAGTTCGACAGCCGATGATATGGATATGCTGCCGCCAACATTACTGCTGCTGTTGACCACAATTGGTAGGTTTCCAGTCACAGAGGCGATAGCTGTGGGCGCTAATAAATTAGTTGACGGAGAGGACAATGACGACGACAGGCCCGCCAATGGCGGTGGCGCCGACATCGTCAGCGGCGTAAGCAACGCCGGGCCGCTGGATCCCATACCGCCGCCATTGCAGCTGATAAACGGCGTGGCTATTGAAGTGCTGTTAATGGTGGCATTGGCATTGGAATTGGAGCTGTTGTTGTTGTTCGCATTAGCAGCATTGCTATTGTCGCCTAACACCGCCCCGACCGCAGGCGTTTTAGAAACAGCAGTCAGCGGCGGCACAGGAATCGAATGATTGCTGGTGTTGCTGCTGCTAGTGCCAACGGCGGCATTTCGCTGTACCTCATGCGGGGACCACGCTTGTCGTGGTATGGACACCATGCTATTCTTTAGCAGCGTGCGTTTCAAATCGTTGCTGGTTGCCAAAGGCGAAGTAGAGGGCGGCGGTAGACCAGGCGATGGTAGCGGCGCAGCTGGAAAATTGCTACGCGCAGGACTAATATCGGTTGTGCCCCGGTTGGGGAACGATTTGCGAGCACGCTGCTGCGGTGGCAGTTGCAACGGTTGTGGTTGTGGTTGTGGTTGCGTTTGCGCTTGCACTTGCACTTGCAATTGAGCTGGTGACTGCGATTGTGGCAGTTGTTGTTGTTGTTGTGGTGGCTGTTGCTGCTGCTGCTGCTGCAGCGATGCACGGTTTGTTGCATTGCTAGCTACAACAACGCTCTTTTGTGACTGCTGCGGGGGTTGAGCGACAACCGAGGCCGGCAAGGGACCGTATGGTACGCCGCGCGCATTCAAGCGCCTGTTGGGCGGACTTGCGTGCATAGCTGCCGCAACCGCCGTAGCTGCATCCATTGCAGCCGCTGCCTCTTGTGCAACCTGCGCTGGTGATTTCAGGGTCACTAAAGTGGCCTGTGGATTACGCACGTTTTTCGCATTCACGCGCTGTATCATTGTGTCGCCAACACGTACCGCATCGGGCAGCGGATTTGGGGCAGCTGTTGTGGGCTGCATGTCGATCGCCTTATCGCCAGCAGCCGCGACAGAGCCGAGCGCCGGCTGTGTGGAAGCGGTACAAACAACGTTGCTAGCGACATTGATCTTCGTTGACGTCTCCTCATCGTCGGACATAACTTCCTGCTTGACTAGTGACAAGTTTGGCGTAGTGACTGCTGGCAACGGGACTTGAGCAGCAGTAGCGCAGCTTGTCTGTGCTGCCGGCACAGCGGTCGATGTAGCCGCACCTGTTTTCTCATTGGCGGGTACCTTTGCAGATGTCTGCTTTTTGTCCTGCCTACCCACATTGGCGGGCGTTTGTGAATCTGCTTCATCATCTGAAGTAAATTCTCTTTTAATCTCTACAAACGGCACCAAGTCCTTTAGTATATGCGTGTCAGCTGCGGATTTGGCCGCACCTTTTTTGTTCTCTTCCGTTTTGGGCTTATCACTGCCGCTACCATTTTCGGTTTTACTACCGCTAGCGCTTTTACTGTCGCTGGTGTGGGATGTAGCAGTACTCTGCAATTGCGTTTCGCTAACGACAGCTGTAGCAGCAAGCGCGTCCTTCCCTACGAGCTGTGTGACAGCTTGTGTCTCGTCTGGCGTTGCATTTGCCGACACCGTCAACTTCGTTGATTCAGTTGAAGCCTTCTTGGCTACCTCTTTCGATATTTTCTTAATTGTCACACCATGCTTATTTTTAACTAAATTCTCCATTACCGTTTGAGCATTATTTGTGGGTGGCGTTAGTGCTATTGCCTTTGCCACCGCAGCTACTTCTTCCTTGACACACACAGTCGCGGTCTTCACTTCCGCGTTCAATGTGGATGTTGCACTGGTGTTTGGATTCGTAGCGACAGGTTTTGTATCACCGTCCGTGGCAACTGTTAAAGTATTTCCATTTGCGTTTGTTTTGATGGTAAGCAGTGGTACACGCGGCTCATTTTTGGCATGCTTCGTACGATGACGCTCAGGTTCGACCGCACTACCCCCGCTGGTGTTTGCGCCTCCGCCACTATTATCAGCACCATGCTTGCGTTTACCCAATGCGTTATCTCCGGTGTTAACAGCGCATCCGCTTGTAGGCTTAGCAGTGCTACCACTCGCAAGCAGTTTGTGCTCATCCTCCTCTTCATCGAATTTTATCATCTTCGGCATTGGCAAATCCAGATCTTCGCTAGCCTCCTTCTTGTGTTCGCTACTCGGCTTTCTTTTTAAAATTACTGCAGTCACCTTTGATGATTTGCTATCATCAGAGCTCGCTTTGCTCACCACCTCATACTTGGGTGCAATTTGGGATGTCTTTATATCGCCAACACTCGCCCCAAGTCCATTACCACTGCCCGAGGACACGCTGCAGCTGGATTTCTTATTTGGGCTACCAGAATGATCTGAATCATTGCCCGATTCTGTGGCACTCGCTTTTTTTATAATCGACAAATGATTATCCGCCGTCTTCACAATTTTATATTGCAACGAGGGCTTCGGCACCAACGATTGTTGCCGCTTCATATACTCCGTCACGCCGGGCATCATCATTTCTAATTGCTGCAATTCCTCTGCCGGTTCGTAAGGTGTTTTAATTTTGGCATACTTAAAAGCGCCCACTTTAACTTTTATCTTCTCAATATGCAACTCCACCTCTTTAATGCAATCGGCCAATTCACGCGCTGAACGCTTACCAGTTTGTGTATTCGGATCCTGCTCGGAGTATAGGAAACAATCTTTGACCGGCACAAACGCGCGATCATGTTCACCGAAAAAGCGCACATTCACATGGGAGAGACCCTGTCCTGGTCCCATGGCTTTTGCCGGCCAATAGGGAAATCCCTTCAATTTTGCCCAAAGCAAAAGATGTGGCTGGGAGCAAACATCAACAAACCAATCTGGGCGCGTGTTTGCATTCAAATAACATTCGCCACAGGTGTCAATCTCATTGGCCTCCTGACGGCACACCTTCAATATGGATTTGGCAGTGAACACCTCTTTGCTAGAGGCTGAAAGAGAAGTTGGGAGTTGTAAAGTGTGTGATTTTGTGAAATCAGTTTCTGATGGGTACTCACTGCCACAGCCACTGTTTAAAATGAGTGCATTGTGTAGTATCCATTTTGTTTCATTAAGAAACTCCTCTGAGCAACGGAATGCCCGTTTCTCGACCTTTTCCTGCAACGCTGTGAACGTAACTGGATTTACAATGTACTTCGAGTAGTGTAAAAGATCCTCGTCGCTGTAGAGGAACTTTGGATACTGCAAACGGGAAAGCGAAAAGTAGGATCATAAGAATGTAAGAATCATAAACAATTTCAAATAAAGCGTGTTTAATGTAAGGCACATAGAAACATTTATTTTTAAAGTTCTGGTAAAGGAAGCACCACGGAAGCGAGTCCTCATTCTTTGGTCGGAACAATTGAAATGAAGGAATACGTCCTAGTAAGGCTCCCCTACATAGCAGGGGGTTTAATAACATACCTCCCACACCTCAGCTTTGTCCGGACCGTATATGTATGGCTTATTTATTTATATTTGAAAAAGGCTAGACATTTTTGATCAGCAATTGTCCTCCCCGTGAAGATGGAATATCCAATCATTAAAGTTTTGTTACAAGAAATCCTCAGCACTTATAATTTATTCTAACATTTTTAAACATACAACAAAATTTCTAATATCTTTACACTCTCAACGCCATCAAGTGCATTGAACAAAAAAAGTGATTCGCATAAAAATAGGTCAGACATGTATTTAAATTTGTATCATTACCCTGCAATTATATATACATACATATGTATGTATGTACATGGATATGTAAAAATTTAAGTGGCATATAGAAGCAAAGCAATACGAACTATCTCAAAGCAGTTGGTTTTCATTAAATCCATTAATATTGGAAAAAAAAAACGAACGGAAAGAAAACAAAGTCACATAAATGTGAATGCATAAGGAGAAGGTAAACAGACAGAAAACAAAACCCGCGCAACACAAAAAAACGCTCTTAATCAGCATTTCGCCGCATTCAGCAAAGAGATGTACAAGCCGTAAGAATGAGAGGAGGGCGCATACACATGTACACATACGAAAAGAGCAAATGAATGTAATGCAGACATTTAAAGAGCAATAAGTAAGTACTATGCAGCTTGAATAGCACGATGTATCATTATTGCTTGAAGAATAGGATGAATGAATGAGTGTAGGTAAAACAAGTTTGTCACACAAACACCCAGATATAAATGTTGGAATTAGTAATGCTAAGTGCATATGTAAATATTAAATACCGCAAGTGGCGGTATCTAACCTGCACTTTTTAGTATGTATCTATTTTCATAAATATATGCAACTACATACATATGTATGTATGCATTTATATGTACATATATAAGCACACATTCATACATTCATACATTCATATGTACTATATGTGTATATATGAAGGTACTGCATGCATTTATTTTTTGTCTGGAACATTACAATATTCGAGGTTTGACGTGTGTATGTACGAGGGATGTTAATTTTTCAGCTTTTTCCGATCCCGGGATTTTCGGGATGTCCTTATCACAATCGCTGGGATCCCGGAATTAGTTCCGGGATTTAGATATTGATTACTTTTCAACAACTTAAATAGAAAAAAATGCTTCTGTATTGTTTGAGAAGCTCTCCTTATCATAAAATATATAAATAAAAAATAAATGGGTTTGAAACCTACTATTTTTTTTAAGTGGCATTTTTATTTTTTCACTCTCACGTCTGGATTTATTTTAAAGGACTTTGTAATTTAAAAGATATGAATAATTCCAAAAATTGTTTAAAAATTTCAATGCAATGTAGAATAAAAAAATGCAAGAGGAAATTTCTTTAGAATTAAAAAAAATATATATTTTTTTTGGATTCACATAGACGAATAGGTAATTTTTTGAGCTGATAAAGTTAGAAGGACGAAATTCGAGGTTGTTATCGAGTTTATATAAGTCCTTACTATTTAATTTTTTCAAAACCAAATATTGCAAAATCTCAGGGATAAAATTTTAAAAGGACATTTTCAATACTTTCCAGTCCTCGTGTACCAAAAAATTGAATATGTTTAAATTCTACAGAATTTCCTCTTTAATTTGATAACCATACTCGCACTGAATTTTTTAAATCATTTTTGAATTACTAACGTCAGAGTGAAAAACTAAAAACGCACCTTTACTATATTTGGCCCATGGCTTCGCGAATATATTGATATTTGTGTTTAAAATTTACTATCGCGCGATGTTATATGTATAATAAGCTAGACATTGATAAAAAAAAACATTAATTATTAAATAAAAAAAGAAATATAGCAAATACTGGCCAAGGAGCTGTTAAACTAGCAGTTAACGTGATCCAAGTTGAAATTGGTGCTTACTATGAGAATGAATGATACACCGTTGCCAAGGTATTTAGAAAACCGGCAATAGTATATATAGAACAATTATAATATCTCACCGATTTTCCAAGTGCATTTTTAAAGCTTCTTTTTATTGATTATAGGGTACCGTTATCAGAAAAAAATTAAAGCTCTCTAGAGACAAGTACGAAGAACTTGTTAATATTTTCACAACGGTTAATCATTTATAGAAATCGGACAGATTTTACGTCGGTGGGTGGTTAAGCAACTTCATTTTCGATGACTTTTTCACGCTATTTAGGCAGTAACTGCCATAAAATTTGCGTATCTTTCCTCAAAACTGTGTCATTGTTCACATAAACTGGGTATTTTGCATAGCCCACAATAGTAAAAAGCTAAAGTGGGGAAGATTTTTCACTACATTGGATATGACCAATGGATATTATCAGGTCTCGATCAAAGAAAATTGCAAGAAATACACAACGTTCCTTACGCAGCAGGGACTGTATGAGCATAACGTGATGCCGTTCGAGCCAGTGAATGCATCTACGGTATTCTTCGAAATGGTGGTACGTATAATGTCGTTACTGAAGCACAGGGACAAGATTATAAGTTAAGTGGACGAAATGATCGTAGCTACTTCGACTTGCGAAGAAGGAAGATAGTTTAACGATAGGTATTGGAAGCGGTAAAGGAAGAGAGTCTTACGCTTCGACCTTCCAAGTACCGATTCTTGGCGAACGAGGTCATTTTTTTGGGACACAATACGTCTAAAGCAGGTAAAGCTCCGGGGAAAAAACGAAGGCGATCTGTGTTGAGGAGTTACAACGAAAGCAACAACACCACTTCTTAGACGTATTGACAAATGGTGGCTGAAATTACAAGAATTCGATTTAAAATTGTTTATCGACAAGACTAAAAGATGCAGCATGTGGCAGGATTACGAAGTCAACAAAGGACGGTTATATCGCAAAGTCAATGGCGAGCGCCGGTTGGAATCCCTCAAGCAGTAACCTGGCGTATTACGAAAACTTCCCATGACGATTCAGGTCACTTTGCTGTTAAGAAGACACTCCAGTGACTTCAACGAAATTTTTGGTTACATCGAATGTGACGCTACGCTAACATGGGCCGGTCCATGAAAGTCAAGAGAGGCCGAACTGTAAATGCCAATCAGACTCGATCAGTCGTCAATTTAATTATTATAGATTTATTTTTTTAATAGATCTGTGTACTTTTATTATTGTTACTGAGCTTTGTACAACGATTATGTTTATTAGGCAAAATGGAAAAAGCAACGAAGTCTAAGCGGTAAAAGTTATAGCTGCCGCACCCGCATCATCGATGTGCAAAGTCAAAAGCGCTAACCACTGAGCTATGCACACCCCGTAAACTCTTGTTGCTAGTTCATTTCCTTAATCAACCTACTACTATCAAGTGCAGCTGATTTGCCGCTATTTAAACTTGACAGGGTGGTTGTTATTGCTATTGCGGTTTTGCAATTGGTACTTACTTCCCTTTAACAGGATTATTATAATATTAAATTCAAATGATTTTAACACCCCATTCTCAAAATCGCCACGCCTTAAATTCGAGCTTTCTTCTTTTTTGGCACTACAGCCTTTCCGGCTGAGACCAAAAAACTTTGCATCTCCTCCTAAATGTAGACAGATGTTTCTGAATATATATGCCCAGCAAAAAACACGATTACCACAGAAGCGAAAGTGTAAACGAGCTAGGCGATGGGAATCGCTTACGCTTTCGCTTCAGGAAGGCCTTATTTTAACATGGGCATGTCATTGGCGGTAAGCCCTTACCCGCAGCATTACCTTCAAACGAAGGGAGAACGCATGGATAAACAGAATCCAGAGAAGCGAACAAAGAATGCCTTACAGAGAAACTAATGTAGAATGCCCAGATGAGTACATACTTATTTATATTAAATCAGAAAATGTCTTAAAAGATTCAAATTAATTAAAATTTTTATAAATCAGTTTTTATACAAACATATGTATGTGTTTGGGTATTTAGATTTTACTTAAAAATCGGTATGTACATACATGCATATTTAATTAAGCTTAAAATTGTACTTCCTCACTCATGTACTTCACTTCATTGACTGACTTCAACTTCGCTGCAAATTGAACAAAGCAAAACATGATTTTTATGCGAGACAAATTTCCACAGAAACTAACGGTAGGAAAAGATTTTTTGGGTATTCATTCTATTTTTCAGCTGACTAGGATGCAGCATTCTACTTTGCATTCCCCGAAATGAAGCAAAGAAGCGAAATAAAGAAAAAAAAATTGTAGGACATTCTACTTTGCATTCCCTGAAATGAAGCAAAGAAGCGAAATAAGAAAGAAATATTATAGGACATTCTACTTTGCATTCCCCAAAATGAAACAAAGAAGCGAAATAAATAAAATATTGTAGGACATTCTACTTTGCATTACCGACAATGCCTAAAAGAAGCGAAAAAATTCGAAGGCATTACAACGCTATGCCTTCCAGAACACGTTACCACTAAAAGCGATTACCGATTTTTTGCTGGGTGGGATCGAATCCAGGCCCTACAGAGGGGTAGTATGTACCTCTAACCACTCTACCACGGCGGGCGCGTACATAGCTCAAAAAATACGATATAAATTTCAGATGGTGTAAACTATAGTTGCGTTTTTTTACTCATTTCCAGTAAAATCCAGTAAAAGTTTTTACGAATTTTCATGTTTTGGCGTTTTCGTACGCAAAAACTTGCAAAGTAGGGAAAATTGAGAGAGCGAAAAATGACAGCTGAAGTTGCAAGTTTTTACTGGATTTTACTGGAAAAATTTTTACTTGTAAGAGATTGCCAGTACGAAAAACAGCTGATCGCATGTTGCTGGATGAAATTTAAACTAATAAGGAAACTGTTTGTGGCTTTTTATTGTTGAACTTCACAAAATAAACCTATTTAAATACAAAATATATTGTTTTATAAGGAATTTGCTGCGAATAAACAACCAATTTATCAGCTGTTCATGAAACTTGCAAATTATTACTGGAAAAGCGTTCGCGTACTTTTTTGCAAATTTTTTCTATGAGAGCGAATTCTTAGAAATAAAGTTACTGGAGAGTTACTGGCAAGTTACTGGATAATTTGTAAAAAAACACAACTTATAAAACTACTCTTAAGATGAGAACCAGTAAGAGCAAAAATATGCGCAAATGTACATACATTTATGTAAATATACATACATATGATTTCGAAATATGTTGGAAACACAATGCAGTAATGAAATGAAACACCATCGAAATGGCTACTAAAACAGCAATAGCAACCAACTTTAAATGTATAGGTTCCGGGTATTTATGTATTCATATCTACATATATACATTACATATTCAGTACATACTACATATTGAAACTTAAAACAGCGATTAGTTGTTGCTGCCTCAGTTGTTTTTGTCTCTGCTTTATAAAAGCTACCAGAAACTTCTGTGAATCTAGTATGCATACACATGTATATATGTAAATATATATATATATATTTTTTTTTTTGTATTTAGATGTCCATATGTAGAGATAATGTTCGTGAAGTGCACGATGAATGATGACAAAGCCAACGAGCCGAGCACAAACCCCAAAACAAAGAAAAAAAAAAAAAACTACTTCGATAGCAAACGCGTCGAGGCATCATGTGATGTCGATGAAATGAAATACAATGGGTTCATTTGTACATACATATATGTACATAAATATGCCTTTGGTTTTGTGGGTATAGTAAATGAAACAAGAGAGCAGAAAATATTTGCCAATTTGAAAATTTTGAAAATACGGAATTCATAAGGAAATTTAATTTTATTGCCGCATAACCGGGACAATTATTTACTTATAAAAATTAAATCAAAATGTTATGGCATTTTCGTTTCTACAAAAAATGTTGCCTCCTCATTGCCCTCATACTAATGTTTGTGCGAAGAGGTTAACAAGAGGGTAATATTTGTGGGTGGAAGCGAAACGTCAATAATGCCAGTCATTTTACCAGGTCATGCAACTGCAACTCAAAACATCTACTTTAAAAAATTTTGTCATGAATATTACAGCGTTCAGAATATATTCATAAAAACTAATGGAATTGGTTGATAAGTTGAACCAATTCATTTTGTTGTTGTTGTAGCAGCATACATATTCCCCAACAAATATTTGGGAGTTGTTGGAGTGACAGTCCTTGGCAAGAAATAAATCTGGGTCGTTCCGGTTACGTAGCCCGATTTAAAAGTACACATGCATGTCGCACATTTGCTGAAAGAACGTCAGAATATATTTAAAAAAAAATCCACAAAACGCATTTAAAGTTTTTATCCAGAGTTTCCCTTTGTCACAACACAAATGGGAAAAAGCTGGCATCAAACCAAGGCGAAGTAATATAAAATTTCGCCTTACATCCATTATATGGGTTGACGACAATAAATTCTGCATACTTAACTCCAAAAAAAAACAACAATTGTTTGAATTATGACTTTCCCTCAGCAATCGACCGAAATGTATTATACGCATTTCAAAGTGTACTCACCCCTTTCACCATCTTCATGCGTTTGAGCGCAAACGAAAGCAGCTGGCTTAGCAAATCCAAGGATACCTCACCGCGACGTGAGCTGCTAAGAGACGGAAATTTATCAATTAGATGTTGTGAAATTTATAATTCGATTGAATAAAAAACTTAAATGCAATTGCAACATGTATAATTGAAAACTTTTCTTTGGATAAAATAACTTTTAGAGCAAAACCTTTAGGAAATATATATTGCTTATATCAGGATTTGTAATAAGATTTTTAGAAGGGAGACTCACAAATGTTATATTGGAACCAAAAAAATTAATCGCTTGCTTAATAAGATGTAGATTAATTAAATTCACTTAAAGATTTCTTTAAATAAAAATTTACTCTTATTACTATTTAAAAAGTAAACTTTTAAATTAAATAACTGACAATCAAAAGCCCCATTTCAATGAAATAGGTATTGTCATTATATGTGCACCAAAAAATTTTAATTGTAAAAGAGGTATACATACAATATTTAAAAATGCGTCTCTTCACAATGCCTTAACCTTTGAATTGGGAAAATCGTTCCGAAATGCATCATACTAATATACATACATATCGAGGTTGTGAGAGCAGAAATGGACTAACCTTTTTTTTCTGTACTTATTATTTAATAAAAATTTACGACATTTGAAACTATTTTACGCCGTACATATAGTTTTAAAATACTTTTCCTCAACGCATAAAATTCCATTATATTTACCGTTTGGGTCCATTTAATACATTCTCCACGCTCACGCATTCGGGACATACCCACGAGTCGTCTAGTTTTGTGGATGCTGTAACCTTAATGCAAGTGCAATGAAAGCCACGCACACACTTAGAGCAGGGAAATAGATCGACACACTCGCGGCACTTCCAGCAAAAGCTATCCCAGCCGCGCTACAGAAATGTATAAAGGATTTTGTTATTTGTATTCGAATATTTTCAAACTTCCCACAAGTGGTTCACCTACCTTCGGCGGGGGCGCCCAATAGGCCATCAATCGCGCCTCTATGCTATCTACATTTACCGGCATACAATTTTTTCCACCAACTTCCAATGAAGCCTCCAACAATGAACTTGTGCTGCCCACCAGCCCAGGAGCCGACACATTGCTATCGTTCATTGTATTGTGTTCCATTGGTAAATGCATTTCTTCCTCGTCGCCACCATTGACAAGACTACGCTCGCCATCCTCTGCCTCCGATGACACTTCGCCCTCATCGTGCTTCACACGATTCAAAAACTCAATTTGCTTTTGCACGAACTCTGAATTTTGTGAACGCATATTTGTACGCTTGAGCAACTTCTCATCGGAAGGCCAGCGCTTCAGCTTGCCACCGGCTGCATCCAAACCATCAATGCTTTTGCGATTGACACTCTTGCTGCGCGAACGCCGTGGTATAGTGCTCGAAGTGGAGCTCGCGTTATCATCCTTGAGTGGTGCAAACTTGCCAGGCTTACGTGGCTTTTCCCCATGTGCATGATAATGATGGTGATGATGATGATGTTGTGATGTTGCTGGTTCATTGGCATCTTTAGGTGCGCTCTTTTGCCGCTTTCGCACCGCATCGGTGACAAATTCACTCAATACTTTCGATTCATTCACCGAACGTTGGAGTGCGAGAAATTCACGTGAAAGCGGTGTACTGCTGCGTGCTAGAAAGCGTAAGCTATGTTGTTGGTTTTGTTGTTGTTGAGATAAATTAGGCGATTTGTCTTGATTTGGCGAATGAGTTTTGCCAGCAGAATCTGAGACCTCCGTTTCGGTGGCGATCGGGTCATTTGCCAGTGGGTCGGTCAATGTACTTTTAATAGAAGCATTTTTGCCATCTACTGCCTGCTCATTCAACATCTGTACCATTATTAACTTATTGTTTTTCGATTGCATGGACAGCAGCTTAGGCGGCACCGTCAAAGCTGAGACGATTTGTACCGGTATTGGGCAGTCGCCAGCATCGGCTGAAGATGACTCAATCCGCATAGTTGTTGCCTTATCGGTAACAATCGTTTCCAAAACCGGTTTGGATACCGGCTCCACAATTGTTGTCGCAGCAGACGTGGTCGTAGAGCTACCGATGTTATCGTTTATTTGCTCGGTAGCAGCGGCAGCGGCCACTGCAGCGCCTTCCAATGCGTCCAGCTCTTTCTGCACTAAATTGCTTTCATTTTCCTTATAATCATCCCGTCCTCTATAATCATGTTCCATGATACTTTCTTCTTCAGCTTGACATACCCTCTGTTCATCATCTGGCTCTTCGGTATCCATATCATCATCATCATCATCATCATCATCATCTCCATCGATATCACTGCCATCTTCATCTTCCATTTCCGCTCCTTCTTCCACGGCTAATATTACGCTGTTTGCGTGCCGGTTGTCGACTTTAGCGCCGTACGTTAATATGGGCGTGGCACCGACAATACGTTCATACGCTGGACCCGGTATCGAGTCAACGCTATCCTCGGTAGCCAAAGCGTTTTGCTCCATTACAACACTGATGATATCATATGAATGCTGATATGGTCACAGAGTCAAAGCTAAAATGCGTAAGCGAAGAAATGGATATTAAAGAAGATAGGTTAATAAGTTTATTTTTTAAACTAATTTAATTAATTATGTAAAGAAAAAAAAACTAAAAAACAATAAAAAAAAAAACTGAAAACAAAGTGCACAAATACCAGGAACGACAATCAAGAAAACAGTGAAAACGCATTTACGGCACACGGCAGCTGAGACGAATAGAAAATGACGACGTTGCTGATCACTTCATGTGGCGCTGTACATCGTTTTCAGCGCCGCTAGTGCCGGCTATCTTCGTCCGCACGACAACGATGACGATGACGAACGCCAGACACGCGAGAATAAATTGCATACACACAACCGAGTAGGCTCTGATATTCGTCGTACATTTATGCCATCACAAAACGCCTACAAATTGTAGATGCCAACGAATGCCGAAATGAGCTGACATTCCCCCAACCACTCTATACTCCCATTCACTCCCGCAAAGCAAACACATCCCATCAACTGTTAACAGGTATGAAAAGAAGTGTCCATACAATCAGCATACCTATTTTTACAATGCAATATCTGCTTGTAATTGCGTGTGTGTGTGTGGTGAGTACATATGTATGTATATGGTGAGTATATACATACATATGTATGTACATAGCGTTAGCTTAATAATAGAAAGGCCCTATCTCACATCGCCGGTGAAATAGAAAAAAGCCTTAACTACAATTTTTTGTTGCATAAAACGAAGTGGGGATTTATTATAATTCGATGAAATGCATCATAGTCAATCAACACGCGAATTTTGGATTTTTAGTTAGTTACGACTTTTTATATTTCCACGACGATGCGAGATAGGGTATTTCTATATTAAGGCAACGATATATACTTGTGCAGTCGGAGCGACTAACGATAAGCATTTCTCGATTTACGATATGATATAACGGCTTTTCTTGTTTTGTCATCATTACTCGATAAATAATTGTTACATCAAATAAAATGTAAATGGGTCCACTGTGGAGCGACGAATAGATAATCTACTACTTTTTTCGAAGCCAGTTAAAAATATGCATAAATAGTATGAAATATGTACATACATATGTATGTTCGAATGTACAAATATGTTACGAAAGTACAAGCTGACATGCATACATACCTTTATACAAACATATGACATGTAACAACATAACGGTACATGATTAAGCCGTGGTCACCAATGGGCGTCAAAGTCGCTTACTAAGCTGTGTATTATCGTAAAATACGCAAACTCAAAGGGTGGGAGTTGAAAAGACATGGCAAGCAATACTAACTAGCCTCTCAAATGCAGTCACAAAATATTGGTGCGACAAAAGCAAACAAATGTCAATTTGCAATAATTTAACATGAACAAGTAAAGAAGTCCGGAGTTCGGGTGAAACCGAACTTTGTATACGCGACGCGTGTCTAATGTGTACTACAAACTTGCTTGGCATACATATGTATGTATGTGTGTACATCCATACATATATGTATATGTACATATCGCACACCGTCTTCAACAGAGTCACAACTCAAAATTTGGCATTTTTGAGATTATGTGCTAAAAATGTACACATAACTTTTATTTACCTTTCAGCAAAAGCTGAAGCAAATTTTTGTTTTAATTTGTTAAAATAAAACCTAATACTAGGTTCACATATAAGTTGATTATCCTCATTTTCGAGCTTAACTTCCTAATCTGTAATTAGAAAAAGAGATTAGCCATATAAATTCCCTCCCTTGTTAATCTGTAATTATAAAATAATCTCAGATTTAACCGATAACTTGTCGGTGTCCACCCTAGATTTATCGATTGTTTTCGCGAAGAAGAGGAGAAATGGCAAATGTAAAAGTAAACAAAAATGGACGCTAGCAAGAAAAAGAGGGTTTTAAAGGTATTTTTTAATAAACATTTAAATTAAAATATATTTATATTGCTTAATATATAGCAGAAAAGCGTGATCACGGTAGCACAGAGAAGAAACATAACTTTTCCTTGAGATGTGATAATATAACAAGCACAACAAATTTGACGGCTAATAATCTGAGATTTGCCTGTGTAAACGGGGTGATTAAAAAACGAGCTTTGATTGAGATAATATTGATATGTGAACATAGTTTAAGGTAAGGTCGCCCTTAGCCCATATAATTATCATGTGCTAAGAAATAGTATTTCGCATTTTCTTACAAACGTATGTATTATTTTGAGTTGTGACTCTTTTGCAGACGGTGTGCGATATATACTTACCCAGTGGGAACAGTAGTAACGCGTTGCATGATAAATAATGTAATGCATTTCTTATGTGATTTAGATTCTATTACTGTTTAATGTAATCAGCATACAAATGTAACAAAAAAGTCCAAAAAAAATCATATTAAATCGGGGCTGCAAACCACTGCGAAAATCGGTGCGGTTAGGTTCAATGGTTTGAACCAGTTAGAAAAAGCTTGTACCGGTACAAGAACCGGTTCATTAGTATCCCTGAACTGCGATCGGTTCGGTTCAAATGGTTCAATTTTTTTTTTATGCCAAAGGATATAAATATTGCTAAAATATGACAAATGTATAATATAACAAGTAATTTTTAGCAAAAAAAAAACCGACTTCAACTCTCATATAAAAAAAAAATATATATATATATCTCATGATCCACTAATCGGATCTTAACCAGATTAGTATGGGACCACCTCTGAGACACTACCTTTCCGATGAGAAGAATTATCGAAATCGGTTGACGTGGCCCAAAGTTATGCAGTAACATACATAAAAAAAAAAAAACAAAAAAAAAACATTCCGACGAACTGATAACCTGCTCCATTTTGGAAGTCGGTTAAAAATAAAAGGTTTTGTTACTGAAATCAAATTCAAATACCCACATGCATAGTAATGGCAAAATTAATGGGGAGGCGACATTTGAGCAAGTTTTGGGTATTTTCCTTTTGTTTTTTTTTTTAATGATTTTAATTTTTGGCAATTGTTCACGGATTTCGTTCCATACAAAGTATGTGGAATTTTCTTTTTTTTATGGCACAAAATGTCTAATACCCTGAACAAAAAAAAAATTTTTTAAAATCAACGCGATCAAGGGAAAATTCGAAAAATTTTAATAAATTTGTTTAAGATTTGGAGAAGTCGTAAGCCTAATCGTGTAGGCCAGTTGTTGTTGTTGTTGTTGTAGCAGCATACAAATTCCCCAAAAACTTTTTGGGGAGTGTTGCTGGAGTGACAGTCCTTGGCCAGATATAAATCTGGGTCGTTCCGGTTACGTAGACCCGACTGTCGTGGGAACGCGTGTAGGCCAGTTATGCCCATCGCTGGCAGAATTCAATTATCAAGTGCCCTGACTGGTGTAGACAAAACCGCATACTCCAGCTTTTGAATTGACACTCGAAATATTGGCTTACTGTTGAGCTGGGTTGGCGCTTACACTGGGCCTTAACTTCAGTTGCCATCAAACAAAAAAAATGCTTGCAGTTTTACCATACGTGTTACATTTTTAAACAAAGTTATGTTTTAAAAAACTTGAAATATGATGCTATAGCGGATTTTCATTTTTTGGAGTGGTCTTCGTTTCGGTTTGGCATTTACAAATAAAAACTGTTCGGTTCGTGATTTGGTTCGAAGCCCGCAAAAAACAACGGTTCGGTTCAAAAACCGGTTCGGCTCAAAACCGGTTTGCAGCACTGTATTAAATCATATACATTCCTCGTTTACTAGGTAATACAAAATTGAATGAATTACATTTTTAAGACATCGCCATGGAGAAAAAAAATTGCATTTTCGACTGTGAAAACGGCTGTTTTACTGATTAATTTTTCAATTACCATACATTGCATTTTCAGACTGGGTATAACCAGCTCGCGGATTTTAATAACCAAAAAACCAGCAAACAATTACGCTAAAACTGACCGAATGCGCTCAAGATTCCTAAAAATCACCTAAAACAAAAAAAAAATGCCCCGCAAAAGATTAAATTTAAGGGAATTTTTATAGTCATCCCAGAAGCCTGAGTATACTTTTCCGAATGTTTTCAATGCGCTGAATCCAAATCTATCAGCAGTATTGCTCTATAACGTCAGAGATATCCTAACCTAAAACTGTGAAATTGGCCGTTTTTGCTAAATTTCAACCACTTACATATACATATAATCGGGATTTATGTTTTTCGAATACTCGCTCAAATTTTACCTCACTCGCTGAGATATAAACTTTTAAAGTATGCGATGGAAGCTACCATATTTCAGACATTCTTTTTCATATCGGACACCGAATTTGGTGTCACGCTTTTTCGATCGGCTTCAAATTTTTTTATGGGTTCTATACATGAAATAAGCTAACACGTGTTCGAGGATTGTTTTTTATTTATTTTTTCTTCCGATGATCTATGATCTATCAAAGTTTGCATTCTGACTAATCATAAACTTCTTCAAATCGGTATATGTATCTCGGATTCTGCTCATCGTAGAGACTTCATCTTAACGTCGTTTTTCAGGCGACATACACAGTGTGTCTAGAGTCGTGAGTCGGTTTGGATGTGTTTGTGAAAATAAATATGCGTTAGTTACACTAACAGGACTCCCGGCATGACTCTGAATGTTTCAACTGTGTGTAGTCGAAGGCGAGTCAACACGTACACAAATGACTCGCGGGTCAGACGCACCGTGTATGCCGCCTATTATGCTTTTTCAATAAAAAAGTCAGTAAATAATCGGTTTTTTTTCACATGTTATAAATCAAAAATTAAAAGGAAAAAATTTTATTTTTATTTTTTCGGTTGTTTTTGTTGCAACAGCATACAAATTCTCCAGAGTGGTTAGGGAGTGGTGCTGGAGTGGTAGCCCTTGGCCCGACAGTTAAAATTTTTCTTAAATTTTTTCGATAAAAAAATTTAAGTTAACTTTTGACTTTTATTTTTTCACTAAAATTTTCCACTTAGGCTGTGTGCCAATAGGTAACTTTTTGTCCGTGGTAAGATGAGGTTCATTTAGTTTAATGGATGAAATCTACTTTGTATGAAATTTAACGCGTTAGGAAATATTTCGTGAGTGGGTTGGCTGAAAAAATCCCGGCCAGGATATTTTTAATTACATATTTATTACCAAAAATTATTATTTTTTTTAATTTTGCACTCATTTTTTTAATGAACAAATTACAAATATACCAATCGAAAGCATAAAGCCTATAGAATGTATTAAACCTATTTATATTTTCAATATAAAAGCTATCCGATGACCTAAACATTCTGTTTTGAGTTCAATGAGAAAGGTGGTGCACAGAGATACTTCATTACCAGTATAAACAAATTTGGAAATTCCTTGCGACTATGATTCCACCAGTTTTAGGGGTAAAATAAAATTTACAATATCTGTGCATTAATTTATTAATAATGTCGTTTGGAAATATGGTATTTTTTGCAAATTTCCGAGCTGAGCTGTCAAACAAAAAATGTCCACGAAATATCTCTGCCAAAGGTGTTCAGCCCCTTTTCTTCGGCAACACAGAAAGGATAATTCTACTTAGTGAGGGTTATAAACCCTAAGTTTGGTCCGATGCATGGATATGTACATCGATATTTTTCGATACATCGAGGGGCCATTCATCGATGCATCGAATTGCATAGGATTTTTCAGATTACGTTTAACAGCCAAATATGTTATTAGCAAAATTGTACAAAATTTTAAATAAATTACTGCAACTGAACTAATTATGTTTCTAACGGAACTTTTTAGAGCCATTTAAATTAAAAAAAAAAAAACATCGATGTAGAAAATTTTCGATACATCGAAGCAAAACATTGTCTAGCATGGTGCATGGATAGCATAAATAGCATGATTGGATAGTTTTTTGGCTTCATGTGTTCAAACAACAACACAATTGCCCCACATCTCCATTCTCTGCTAAATGTGTCTTAAAATCTGTCAAATTTCTGTTTTCACTTTGTCCCGTGTTATCATGTGGGCAACTTGTTGTCTTAACATATCACTTTAAAATGGCATCATATCAGTCAGATCGATCTTTACCGCTGAATTCCATAGGCCAACACCGATGGCCTAACAATACATTTTGAAGAGCAATATGATTGCAAGTTTTTGTGTGTGGGCAATTTGATGTCTTGAAATAAGCATTTGCCGCATGACACCACCAGGCAACATTCTCGAAATTTCGGTGTTTAAAGACATTTAAAACTTAAAAAACTTGCTGAATAATTTTCTAAAACATAACCATAAATAATAAAACAGATCCTTATTTTGATTTAATATCAAAATTTCATTGATGTTACCATCAACACGCTTTCTTTCAAATGAAAATATGACTGTCAAACTATTAAATTGTCTACAATAGATGTCCAGCAATAAGCGCTGACATATATTGCAGCCCATGAGAAATAGGCGGTCTCCATTGGAAATATATTTTGTGACATAGTTATCACCACATCAGTGTAAAAAAAAGTTAAAACTGAGTTGTCAATCTACGAAATGACAGCTGATGTTAAGAGCGATGGTAAGAAATTGGGCAAGACAGAATAGTTTAGGAGTGGAAATTTGCGGTATCTACCTAACATTTCTGTCTTTAACACAGCTTTTTTAACAGAATCTGTAGAAGGTGGAGACGTGGGGTTAGCCAAATATGATATTACTGCTATCTATGCACCATGCTAGACAGTATGCAACGGATCCAGAATACCCCTTTTGATATTTTCGATGCATCGATGTTTTTCCCCGAAATCCCTAGTTAGGTATTTATTCTTTTTTGATCAAGTAGGCTGCGCAGATGACAATATATTACCCGCATATTTGTATATCTAACCAGCTGCAAAAAATTACGCAAGTCGCTTAAACATCATCAAACAAGCTCTAAAAAAAAAACGATTTTCCCTTGAGGAGCGCTATATAAACATATGTACATTTATAGTTGCCATGATTAACATTATCAATGAACAGAACGAATGAGAAAAATACGACGTAGATACATAATATGTACATACATATATACCAACTTTGTACGTACATACCTCAAGGAACATACATATGTACAAATACGTATAAGCATACATATGCATATGCATATGAAATATGTATGTCGAGTTGTATTTTAATAACACTAGAATGACTATAAGCACATATGTATAAACTTTTAAATCATTTCCTAAATGTATTTAAGTACACAAATCTTATTTTGTAAGAAAATGGTAAGATGCACGAATCTTTTCATTTCAAGTTCGCAATAAATTTACCTTCTGGTATTAGCACCAAATTTATTCTTATCTTAAACCTTTGAAATACTATGAATGAGTAATTTTTTCCATATGCAGACACACCAAAGACTAGCAAACAGCCTTAAATCTTAGTCGTGATTTTAGTTAGAATTGGGTCATATAAACTCCAATGGATAACAAATTTATGAACATTCAAAATATTAGCTTTCAATACCTTTGGGATATATCTAAAAAACTTTCCAGATAAATGCAGTACGGTTCTCCAGTGAAACTAGCAACAAAAAACTACACACATAGGTATATGTACGCATATAAACGCAAAATATGTGAACGTTTCGGATTGCATTTGGGAAAACTTAACCTCTTTTAACCCCTCCAATAAACGCACTACAAACACAGCTTTTCAGAGTCGTTTGGGTTTAATCTTTTTTACTATTTGCCTTCTTACTATTAAAGCTGCACCCGGGGTCGTTCTGCGTTATCATGAAGTGAAAAGTCAAAAATTCATACCGAAATACTAAGGGCCGGTTACTCAATGGTGCAGCGTGAAAGTGTTATTTTTATCACTTCACAATAACGCATAACTAGATTTGACCCCCTGCTCACCAGCGAATTGGACAATTGAAAAATTTTACAAATATTCATACACCAATCATACAAAATACCAAAAAACATGTACCAATCATTGCTCCCCTTCAAAAGAAACGGGACTCGCTTTACAACGCCATGTGGTGGTAGTGCACACTTGTCAAGTACCATTAGTTGGATACATGCCGCTAAGTTGCAGAGGAGTCCAACCGCATCGGTACACTCTGACAAATGCAGGCGTGCAAAAGACGAGGTTAAGATGTCAACATGTTCCAAAAAATATTCAAACAAAAAATTATGAAACCTTTTTCTCAAAAACAAGTAATCGGAACAATACTTACGATGTGTGGTTTGGTGTGTGAGCTATCGTGATCTTGTTGCTGCCGCCGTTGCTCTTACTTATTGTGCTACTCTTTCCGCCTTGTCGTGAACCGCTGCTTTTCGTACGGGTTTTACACTCGTGGCCATGGAGTGGCTACTAGCGCTACCTTCCTTTCTACCGCTGCACCTTTTCTGGCGTACTGTGTTCACAGTAGGTACGTATGTATGTTTGTAGCTAGTTGTTGAAATGGCTGCCGATGTAATGACCAGGACTTTTGCACTGTATGTATTGATTTCTCCAACGCGCCAGTTACTCAGTTAAGCAATTTTCGCAAATCAACGAATATATTATTGCATAAATAATGTGATTGCTTAGCGATATGGGATATTCGGTCGGCTAATGTTATTTGCCAACATTTCATTTATACAAATCTATTCCCGATGTTGTATGTACATACTAATCTCACCCGGAATTCCTTACCACACAACTTTTATTATAGTCCACTGTTCGCTTTCTTCCAATGCGGTCAATTCTATTTAACTATTCTTGTGGAATAAAGTTCATACAAATTTTTATTTTTTGCTTCTCAATACTAGAAATTGCTTTTCTTCATCGACTTTGTCGCCTTCGCATTTCGCAAATCAAATCGGTCACTTATGTGTATGTATGTGCAAATGTGCACACGCATGTAAATACATACAAATTTATACTTGACGTTTTGGTTTTTGTAGTTTGCTTTCTAGCCAATTCCTCAGCAATTGTATCTAATAACTTTTTCAAGAGTTAAATTTCTAGCCATGCAATACACAAATTGTATTTACACATTCTTACCAAACTTTAAAAAACATATTAATTTGCTGATTTTCCATTGAAAAAAATGTATTCCAAATACAAATTTATGGCGTTTACGTCGTCGCTCGCGCGGCTGCTGCTCACTGTGCTGTTGTCTGCTAAAGTCTCCCTGGCTATTTGACTTCGTCGATGTTGTTCACAATACTTCGTCACTATTCTGCACTTCGTCGCATTCGCAACGCCGATGAATTTGTTTTTGTTCGCTTGCTTGGTATTTGTGTGGATTTTCTCTTCCACATTTTCGTTTGTGCCCGTTCACGTCGGAAAACGTATTCGGCTTTTAAATTGTTGTTGGAATTGGACAAAACAGAATTTGTCGGAAATCGTGTGAGAAAGGTGGAGGGAAAAGAAGTGAAAATTCAAGCTCAGCTGCTTCTTCTTCTACGTGGCGTACAAAATGCACGAATGCGCCCACGACAAATTACCAACAAGCGACAGAACGGCAGCAGAAGTTTTGTTCGCCGCTATTCGAGGTCTTTCGCCCGTTTTGTCGCCAAGCGACTCTCTTTAGTACTTGTAGCTTTTAAAATTTCTTAATTGCTCTTAAATTTGAGAAAATTGTAAGCGGATATTTTTTTGGGGTTTTTTT